AGGAAGGAGACCACTTGGCTTACAGCAAGCACTAGGAAGGGACTGAGTTGGGGATTAGTTTTGCTTCTGACCACTTGGCACCTTCCCTGGTGATGAGAGTGTCCAGCTGCTCCTTCCTCCCTGGACGGGAAGGGGCCGTGGACCAGGGCAGGACGGGCTGCCCCACAATCACTGCAGAGAAACGGTGACAGGCTGTGTGTATGGGGGGGCAGCTTTCACCGTGCGCCTGCTTGCGATCCTGCCCCCACTGCAGAGTTCACAGTAAAGAGACGAAGTGAGCAGGACAGTGTCCCTCTGCACAGAGACGTACTCCACAGGGAAACAGAAGCGTATTCAGCTCGGGCAGAGGGCTGGGTTGGCACCCGCCCAGGTGGTTGCCGCTGTCTCCGTGATTGTTCAGGCGCCCAGACCCGAGAGGCCATCTGCCTGACAGCCCTCCCTGGCTCCCCTTCTCTCCTTCAGGAGGCCACGCCCCCGGCTTGGGGCAGGAGGTGGGGCACAGGGCGGGAGCAGGAGCGTTTACATTTTTATGTGTTACCAGTTTGTGTACAAAACCCTTCTGCTGACATTCTCAGGCACCCAAAAGTAGAGCAAACAGTATGAACCTCCTTTCCCCCAACACCCAGCGTTAACGCTCCGACGTGTTACTGGGGTTTCCTCTGGCTCCAGGCCCTCCCCCGCCCCGTCCTACCTGAACGCCCTTGCAGCTTTCAGACGGGGCTTTGCAGACCTGGGGCAGGCCGGGCTGGGGGAGTGCTTCTCTTTGGTCGTCACAGCACGGAGGAGGTGACTACTGGCATTTTGGCTGGCAGGGGTCCGGGAGTGGGGGGTGGAAGGGGTGGTTCTGCACAGTGAATACCAGTCCCATCCACAGTCAGCCGTGCTGCTGGGGTCTCCCAGACGTGCCACGCAGATCAGGGGCTTTGATCGACTTTCTCTCGAAAGTGCCTTTTAAGGTTTAATAGTTTGATACAATCCATTCAGCTCTCCATCTGCTTGGACTCATGCAGTGGGGTGACTTGAACTAGCCTCAGGCACTTTCTGGGGGTTCACCCATCCATGCGAACCCTTGAGCTGTACTGCAGGGGAAAATGGGGTGTCTTGAGCCCGTGTCCCTGCTTTATATAGTCCTGTTTGCTCCCGTCCCAGCCTTATCATTGATGGACTTGCAGTGACATTCAGCCTGACAGGCCCTTGTCAGCTTTTGGTGCCCCGGGGACTGCCAGAGAGAAGGAGGCTGTGGAAGGCACACCACGGACAGCATGCAGCCCCCTGGGGCAGGGCTTGCTGGGCACTGCCTGCCGCCTGCAGCCACCAGCCTGGTGCTGGGCGGAAGCGCACAGAGCAGGCAGTCGCTGATTATCCCGCCTGCGGCTGGGGAGCCTGCCACGCAGAGCTGGAAAGTCACAACTTCTGAGTTCTTTTTATTTCCAGCGTCACTGAAGCTGGATGGCAGCCTTTCACTGTGGGAAATGAAATGTGTTCATGCAACTTGGGCCCCAGGCACAGATGAGAATGGGCTCCTGGGCACGGAGAAAGGAGCTGGGGGGAGACACACGGTTAGTCATTATTAATCTGCGCCAGCTGCTAGCTCCAGGCACTTTGCACCCGACTGTGCCTGGGACTGGAAGACCCGGGGCCTGCAGGCGTGTCTCGATTATGTGCTGTTCAAATCCCACATCCATGTGGAAGAGGTGATGGGGACCTTAATGAGGGATGAGGGGAGCGTGTGGCTGGCCTGGGACTCTGATTTAGTCTGGTTAAGTGTTTGTATGTGCAGTGAGTTTCCGTGGCAGCCCATTCCAGCAGGTAAGGTGGAATTGGCCAGTGAGAAAGGTGCTCTTTCTGTGAGGTTTCTGGTCACACACACCCCGAGCAGAGGATGCCGAAAAAGAAAGACGCTCCCAGTCTCTCATTTGCTTATTCAGCAAGCACATCGTGAGCACCTACCATGTGCCCAGTGTTCTGCCGATGGGAGGCACAGCAAGGTGGTCCCTGCTCCGTGGAGGAGACAGATTGGCAAAACATAGGGGGGGGGGTTCTTCAGTGTCACAGGTGTACTCCTGGAAGGTGTCGGGCAAAGAGGTGACCAATGCCGTGTTAAGAAGCAAGTTGCTCTCAGTGACCACCGGTTCGCCCTGGGGGTGGGGCGAACCTCGGGAGATTTTGCCAGCAGGGAAGGTCCTGTAGACCTCGCACTAAGTAAGCGATGATCACATCGCACAGGGAGAGCTTCCCAGAGGAGGGGGTATTCAAGGTGGGTTTTAAGGAATAAGTGAACTAACTGTAACTGTGAGTAGGTGTTCCAGGCAGAGAAAGGGAGTTCTAGGCAGATGGGGCAGCACATTGGAGAGCAGGAAAGCCTGGAGAAATTGGGAATTCAAGGCCCTACGTGTATCTGATGCAGCTGGAGTACAGAGAGCGTGTCTCCAACTCCTGCGTGCGTATGAGTTACATGGAAATCCTGTTGAAGGCAGACTTTGAGTGGGCTGACCGGGGGGCAGGACCCGTGTCTCTGTGTCTGAGTAGCTCCCAGATGATGCTGCGGCCGCCGGTCTCCTGACCATGCCCGGGAGCAGCTGGGTGTAACGCCCGTGGAGCAGTAACTATTGAACAGCAGTAGCCTGAGTCTCTTACGCGCTTCCTTGTACGCCAGGCCCAGGTTCGCCCCTCACAGAGCAATCTCAGTTAACTCGTACACCGGCCCTAGGGGGTAGGTAATCAGGGTCATCCTCACTCTACACTTGAGGAAACTGAGGCACAGGCAGGCTGGTAACTTGGCAAAGCAGGAGCTCGTGTTAGAGGTGGGCCTGCATGAACTCAGAAGACAAGGCTTCGTGAGTTGTTCTGAAAAGCCTGGGCTTGGTCTGAAGGCAGAGGGAGAAACCGAGGGGGTCCCACAGGGAGGGCCTGGGCGACACGCACCTTTCCTAGCGGTGGCTCTGGCCACGCACCCTCCACAAGGGAAGCGTCGCATGCGGTTGGCTTTCCCTGTGAGCACGCCCTGTCCTGCCCGGTTTGCTTTGGATCCAGCTGCTAACGATCCCTCAGTTGTAGCTTTTGTTGTTAGTGTTGTCTTCCTTGGTTGATTTTTAAGTGATTGAGTCAGTTCATAGTATTTGGACTTTTCAAACCTCACTTTAATACCTAAAAATCAGGATTGAACCTCCTTCTTAATAACACAGCAAATAACTGCTCAGTAAAATGGCTCACAGGTCACAGGATCTGCCAGCTTGGAGGAGGCAAATGGCTTTAATTAATCTGCACTTGTTTAAAAGAATTGGAATGACCGTTTCCATTGTGAGAGTTCTGTGCACGTTGCATTTTACCTCTTCCCTAGTGTCAGCCCGCTGAACACTTTCCTTATGAGCTGCGTGCCAAGGCCGAATGTTACATCTGGAAACCGCGAGTCGAACAGCAGTTTAAACTCCTGACTTTCACACCTGCCTATGAAACTCAGATAAATGAAATGGAAATAATAGTGCTGCAGTGTGAGGGAATGCTCACTGTCAGTTCTTGTAGAAATCTTTAAGAGATAACCCTTTTGGCATTTACTTATTACACACACACACACGCGCGCACACACATTTTTTATTTTGCCTGCCTCTCACTTTCTTGGTTTGCCCATTGTGACTTCCCGTTACAGATCAGGCTTGTTTGAAACAAGCGCCCCTCGAAAAGGCCATTTTTTGCAATTTTGAAAACGAAACCTACCCCTTCAAAGTGCTTCAGCCTGTCCTGTCCACCTTCCTGCCTGTTTCGGCAGCTGGCTCTTCTCTGCACTTCCCCACGTCCCCTCTTCCCTTGGGGCCAGTCCCCTCGTGGCCGCCTGCTCCAGCCTCCTCTTTGCTGGCTTTCCAGCCTCCCTGCCCTGCAGAGGCGCCCTTCCTGACTACTCGCCTCAAGGACCCAGGATCTCTTCTTCACTCCCTGGCTGTGGGGACGTGGGGGGACGGGTGGGTGCCTGCGTGGACGCAGGCTGGCTCCCCGTGGCGGTGGCATGGGTCTCTGGCACAGGAGGACTTTATTTAAGGAAGCCTTGCTGACAAAGCTCGTGTGCCTGCGGCCCAGTCCCCACCCCACGTCCACTTGCCTCTGGGATCCAGGTTCGACTGCTGGCGTGTGTGTGGCCTGCTCTGATTAAGCAGTGGTAAGAGGAGGCAGGTCATAAACTCCTCAAGAACAAGGATCACGTCTGTTATTTGTATACTCTGCACCAATACCCACCGGCTTTCCTTTCTTTACATTAAATTGTGTGGGGGTGGATAACAGTGGTCAGTAAGAACTTTCAGGTCTGCAGCCTTGTACTGCGACACCTGTGTGCTCTGTTGTGCGCTCACCACCCAGGTCTGAGCTCCTGTCGTTACACGTTTGGTTCTCTTCACCCTGTTCGCCCTCCTCCTGGCTTTCATTCATAATCATTGTTATTGTAAAAGATTTCTCTTTTGATAAATACTTAACTCATTGTAGAAAATTGAAGCAAAAAAAAAATAAGATGAAAGACTGGAGGAGGAGGGAGAGAGGAAGAGGAGGAGGAACAGAAGAAAAAGCCTTCCTAACCGTACCAACCTGAACAAGAGCCCCGTTACTTTGGGGGGGCGCACAGCTTTCTGCCACGTCCTGCGTGCGAACGCAGACGTACAGCTTACACCATACACTCTTTGGCCAGGTTGAGCTTTTCACCTGACACTCACTCTGATTATGTTTCCAAGGCGTGAAATAGTCTCCCAGAACATCTTTTCGATGGCTGTAGAAAGTTCTTTTGTGTGCACGAACAACGGTGTTATTTGGGCAGCTGTTTCCCGTGGGACACGTATGTTGTTTCTGTTTTGCCCGTGTGGGTGCAGTGTGAACGGGCGCACTCTCCTGGCCGTGGCACAGGCCTGCGACCGTTTCCCAGCACGAATTCCTTAAAGCAGTGCCCAAGCCAGGCTTGTATTTTACTTTTTTTTTTTTTTAAGTGTTGAAGCATAATCGTGTTTACTTTTGCTCCTCTCTAGACACTGCAACAACAGGAGTGCAAACTTCTCTACAGCCGAAAAGAGGGCCAGAGGCAAGAGAATAAAAACAAAAACAGATACAAAAACATCCTGCCGTGTGAGTATCAGTACGCTCCGCAGTCACAGTCGCTGTGGAGATTTTGGTTCCTGGCGCCCCTGTCACTGTTTCTGAGGGCCCGGTGCCCTTCTCAGCAGATCCGAGGCTTTGGCCTCTTTTAATTGTGAGCAGTTTCCAAAATAATCAACTGTGATAGGGACTGATGGCCTCATTCGCCGAGTTCCTGCGATGCTGATTCCTGAGTGAAATTGCCTCTAGGAAGTTTTGAGTGTGGCTGTTTCCATCTGTTAATTAATTTGCCAGCCTCAGAGTGATCATCTCAAGGCTTGCCGTCTCCCCGTGTCACACCGCACCAGGAGCTCAGGGGTCCCGGGCTCGTGTCCTTGCTCTGGAGTGCCTGGCTCTGGGGTCTTGCAAAAGGCACGCCTCCATTCTGAGACTCTGTTCCCTTATCTGGGGAACAGATGGGCTCTAACAACTGTTCCGCTCCCTGGTGCCAGGAGCTCAGGTGCCTGGGGATTCGTGGGCACGGCCATGCTGCTCAGAAGGAGCATCTCCACTGACACCCAGAGGCTGCACACCGGGTAGAACCCAAGGTGAACCACGGGGGGAAAGAGGCCCAGGAGGGTGTGGGCCTTGGACGAGGACGCCATAAATGGCACTGAACAGTTGTCACAGCTCTCCTCCCCTGAGGGCACATCCGAATTGCCCTTAATCCACGTCACACGCACACCAATCAGGTGTCATTACAGACTATTTTATTCGGTTGTAAGTAGGAGTAGGGGGGAGAACGGGTCCCAGAGCCCCCAAAATCACTGCTGTCGTGCGTGCTCTCAATTGGGGGGCTCCAGAGTGGGCCACGTCGGGCAAGCACAGCGGGGAAGGAAAGGGGCTCCTTCCCCATTCCTCTTACTGTATATCCCGTGTTTAAAATGAAAAGGAAAAACTTAAATCTGATGTGCAGATTGTTGGCCGTGCATGCATAAAGTATTCACCCAACTTAAAAATAAGGCATGTTTGTATATGTAATTGTAGTATGGGCTTATGTTTCAGTGTTGAGACACTGTGTTACTGAAGTTTATTGAGGCACGTGATGAAATCTAGTGAGCATCGCTCTGTTGCATCAGGTCAGAGCCACGTGGGCAGACCATGTAAACCCATCCGTGTGTGCAGCGGTCCTTCACTTTTTGTGTACAGATGCACACATACCTGGTGTACACGTGGGTCACACCCATGTGGATTATTTGGGATGTGCGTATGTCCGGATGGGAGAGCGTGCAGGCATTTATGACACTGAGAAAGGGCAGCGAGGGCTCGGCAGGGAGTCAGTTTGAGCCACAGCACAGTCCCGATGACCTTGGGGAAGCCTCATCCTTCTCATGGCCAAGTTTGCATTTCCACGCAGGGTGCCTCGTGGTGCACATCTGGGAGATGTAGGGGTGTAGGAGAGGGTGAAGGGGACATGGCACGCGGCACCCACGTACCCCATGGCTGCCTCTCCTTCCCTCAGAGACCCCAGTGAGACTTCTTTGATTGGCAGCGTCTTGCTTTCAAGCTGGGGAACGTTATTTTTTTTAATTTAATTATTGTTCAAGTACAGTTTTCTGTCTTTTACTCCCATCCCAGCCCCCTACCTCCAGTGCTCCCCACCTCCCTCCCATTTCCATCCATGGAACATAATTTTTTAAGACCTACAACTAGGTCACTTATTTCCATTGTAAAATATGTTTCTTAGGATAGGGCACTCAGATTTGTATACCACTTACACAGAATTTGGGCAGTCGGTACATCAGAATCTTGTCCTCTAGGTACTCTAGTTCATTCTGCTCCGTTAAAAACCCTTCGTATGGTGGGAAATGTCACATGTGTTCACAAGCAGATGGAATAGTGTGAAGAAGCCTCGTGTTCCCATCTCCCAGCGCCGATAATTGTCAGCTCGTGCCCGGGCTTGTCCCCTCTGCGCTCCGTCCACTTCTCCTGTCACCTCAAATTCCGACTACTTTGAAGCAAATCTCAGGCATTATGTCATTTATGGGTACTTTATTTCCTTTTAAAAAAAAAGCCTGACTTAAAAAAATTTTTTAAGTTTATTTTTTTCATTTTTAGAGAGAGTAGAAGGGAGAAAGAAAGAGAAGCAGAGAAACATCCATGTGAGAGGGAACTTTGGTGGGTTGCTTCTGGGCCCCCAACCCAGGCATGGCCCCCGGCTGGGAATCAAACTGCGACCCTTTGATCCACAGGCCGGTGCTCCGACCACTAGTCACACCAGCCAGGGCTAAAAAAATCATTTTAGATTCACTGGAAGTGGTAAAAAATATACCAAAGGCGTCATGGGCCCTCACTCAGCTTCTCCCGATGACCACGCCCTGCAATTGCACAGCGCACAGGCAGCAGCAGGAGAGTGCTTTCCTCCTCTTACGGGCAGCGTCTGGGGTGCCCCGCGGTGTTGAGGTTATTATTGTGCTCACTCAGGAATTAATTTTTCATGTGGTTCCATCACTAAATGAACCCAACTTGGACTAGGCTGAGAAAGGACCGATGAGGGTCCACTTTGCCCTGAGAGGGTCTGGGTCTTTTTGTGACTGTCGTCTCTTTTCCTTCCAGTCGATCACACCAGGGTCGTCCTCCATGACGGTGATCCCAACGAGCCTGTTTCCGATTACATCAACGCGAACATCATCATGGTAAACCGAGCTTTTCCCAGTCTCCTCTGACCACACGTCTCTAGCCTGTTTCTTAGTTTAAATCCTCTCCTCTGTCCTGAAAGCACCTTTCAGATGTTTGACGTGTTTTCCTCCTTAATTTCTAGCCTGAATTCGAAACCAAGTGCAACAATTCAAAGCCCAAAAAGAGTTACATTGCCACACAAGGCTGTCTGCAAAACACGGTGAATGACTTTTGGCGGATGGTGTTTCAGGAGAATTCCCGAGTGATTGTCATGACGACGAAGGAAGTGGAGAGAGGAAAGGTATAGTACACGCTCTTCTGATCAGACATTTTAAAATTATCGCTCGCGTCAGGTGGACCACGTCAAGAATGGAATAAACAAATTAAGCTTAAGCTAATTGACCCTCTGGAAAAAAGGGCGTTGAAGAAATTTGATGATGGCCTGCCTTGGTGGAGCGTTCTTCCGGCTTCTTCTCCTTGGGGTTCACTGAGCTTCTCAGATCTGTGCATGCATTTCTTTTTCAAATTTAGATAATGTTTACTGTTTCTTGAAATATGTCCCCCGACCCCACCCTGTCCTGGGACACCAATTGTGCGTATGTTAGGCTGTTTGAAGGTGTCCTACAGCCCACTGAGCCTTTGATCTTTGTCTTTCTTTTTAGTTCTCCTTCTTCCCTTCTGTGTTTCATTTTGGGTAGTTTCTTCGGCAGGGCATAACCTTAGTCCTACTCAGTGTGTCTGTCGTTCAGACGTTGTCGTGTTCATCTCTAGAAGTTTCATTAGCATCTGTTTAATATCTTCGATGTCTTTTCCACACGCGCGCATCATTCCCTGTACCTGTGAACACGTGGAATACAGTTACAATAACTTTTAATGTCCCCGGGACTAATCCTGTTACACGTGTCATTTCACGTTTCCAGTTTCTCAGCTGTTGAAGGTGGGAGCGTAAATCCAGCCCTGTTACCATTTTAGCTGGAAGCAGTGGTCAGAAGGGGTGTGTAGGAAGGCCTGTCTAGTACTTTCCAATGAATGGGGGACTAATAAATCAGCGTGACTTCTGGGGTCATGTACACTGTACTTACCATGACTCTTAAGCATTTAAAAATTAACATGAACATTGGGTTCCTAAAAATAGTCAAACACAGTTAAGGTTAAAGGTGCCTTTGTCACCTTCCCTTGTTCACCCATTTTAGTCCCCTCCTCCAACATACATGGTGTGTGTTATTCTACACTCTTGTCTTGGCATGTACTTACATGCACATATTAAAGGGGTTACTGTAGGCATTGCATGCCCACAGAAGGTATCTAGCCCCATAATATGAAAAAGAGATATTTATTGAAGAGACACATGGTCATAAACTAAAGGGGGGGTAATGGTGGGGATGGAGGGGTAGGGTGGAGGGGAATGAAAGGGGAAATAGAACAATTGTAACAGCATAATCAATAAAAAAATTAAAAAAAAAAAACCTTGTACATAGGACGATGATGCCTCAGTCACCTTCAAATTAGTCCCCTTGACACCTCACACACTTCTCCCAGTCACCATCAGCTGCCCTGTTGTATTTCTCTGAATCTCATTGACTGTCTGAAATCTCTTCTCTTTCAAAAGTGATTTTAATTTTGGGAAAAGGCAGAAGTCGCAGGGCACCACATCTGGGCTGTAGGGGGCGCCAAGTCACCTGGGTCATTTGATGTTTTGCCAAAAAACCCTGCATGAGACGTGACACATGAGTGGTTGCATTGTTTTGAAGCCTCCGATCACCAGTAGCCCATAGCCATGGCCTTCTGAATCATCCAAATAGTTTCCACAGAGGATTGTTCAAGCTTTACGCAAAATCCGATGCAGAGTTGTTGCTCTGTTTGCTTAGTCATTTTGAATGTGACATCACACAGTACACATGCTCATTCAATGGCGCCTACTGCCTCCACTGACTAGTACAGTGAAGTCATCAGTGTTTACACATGCGCATTCCAGTCCACTCTCCTTGGCTGCCAGGTTACGTTGAGTTGCACAAACCATTCTTGTTGTCTTAACAGTGGTTGGCCTTTTTCTGGACAAGCCTTGTATACTCCCTTACATGTATGTGTGTACTTACAGAAGTGCATAGTACTGTTTTCTAAATACTAGGGTACGGAATAGTGGTTCATATAGTAACTTCGTTGTGCTTCTTGGGTTTTCTTCCCTACTGTGTTCTAACCTCTGTTAATACATGTTGGTCCGTCTCATTGCAATTGCATGATATTTTGTGGTACATACGTATCATAATTTATTTAGCATTGTGCACTGGGCATCTAAGTGTTTCCGTTTTTGCCCTCATAAACAGTGCTGAAGTGGACAGCCTTGGTCTTCCTTTTGTGTCCGTGTGGCGAGTGTTTCTCTAGGACAGACGTCCAGAATGGAGAGGTCACAGCGAGCGCCTGTAGTGAATGGATGCACGTTCTGCCGAACCACCTTCCAGAGCGGTGGTCCCGGCGTCGCTCCCCCCGCCCCTGCAGCTGCGTGTGCCTGGTACCCACCTCCCCATGCTCTTCTTGACTCTTCAGGTTTTTAGAGATTGTGACATCCACACTTACAGAGAAGCACACAGATCTCACTGAGTGAGAGCTTTGTGTGTTATCCCAACGTGAGCCTATCCACACAGGGTTTTTTTTTTTTAATACAGAGAAGTTCTGTGTTTTTGTTTGTATTTTAGTCAGAGTGCTTTTTTAAATGTACTTGAATTGGCTTCTGCAGAGCAGTCGTGCACGTGAGTTAAACCGCAGACAGATGGGCGGTTTGGGATTTTAGCTGTGCTGCCCTGCTTTTCTCACAGTTTCGAAGGGCAGTGTGGCCCTGTGAGGTTTTCCTTGTGGTCCCGGCAGCTGCTACACTTCCGCACACCCTGCGGCCTAATCTGGTCATTGTGAAGCAAAGGTCTCCTGCAGTGACATTGGTTGTTCAGACACCTTCCTAGTTTCCGCCTCAGGTGCGTGTCACCTGCCCTGAGGATGGAGAGGACACCAGCACCCTCTGTCCCCTGTGCTGCCTGGCCGTAGGTGGAGGAGCAGACGCATGTGGGGCCGGATCGCGCCACCCCACCTCCTCGCCCCAGTGCGTGCCTGCTTTCCCGTTCCTCCGCCTCCCCGCGTGGGTGCAGGGGCTGACGAGGGGCCGTTCCCTCCGCGGGCCTTTCCGACACCCTGTCAGTGTCACTTTGCCCTCCGCACAGAATAAAACCCGGACTCTGGAGTCCTGTGCATCCCTGGGCTTTAAAAGTGTTAGCCCTCACAGTTTAGATTTTTTTATTGTTGTTAAGGTTTACCTCAGAGTGTGGAAAAGTGGGAGGCAGCCTGCAGGAGTTTCCAGCTGTTCAAAGGCAGCTGAAACGTCTTTGGAGTTCTGGTCTGATTTTGTGGTTGCTGAGCCACAGCAGCCCTCGGAATTGATGGGCCAGTAACAACAGTCTTGAGTGCAACTATTATTAAAAGTGTTTATTTGGAGAAAAATAAGTATCACATCCCTCACACAGGGTATTTGGATCCCACTGCAGAGGAAGCTGAATTCAAAACACTAAGCACTAAAAGGCCCCAAGCTGTGCTAAGCAGAAAAGTGGCACCGAGCGTTAAATTCTTCTGTTCAACTTTCCTCCTCCCGCATTTTCCTTTCAGTTGACCGTGGACTATGGGGCTAGTCCGCAGCGGCTCTTTTACTTCTTGTTTCGTAACCAGGGATTTCTCTGTCTTCCTAACATACAAGGAGATTTTCTTTTGCTGCTCTTCGTGTCTCGGTTGTGGAAAGGGAGTTGCATCGGTGACCGCACCCAGAAAAAAACCCAAACACAAAATCGTTCTTTGCCCAGGACACATCACCACGTCCGTGCAGACGCGTCTCTCATTGAGCAGAACGTGTCCCTCTGCGGCAGCATGGATGATTTCTCTTGGTGCCATGTTTCCCAGCTGCCTGCCCTGAAGCTGGCAGCCCTTGCGTGCGTGGCGTCCCCAGGCACCCAGTTAAGTGGAGGCGACGTGCAGTAGGTAGCAGATGGATCTGTATATAGAAAAAGCAGCTGGTTCAAAACCCCATCAGCTGCCTTTCTGTGCTGGAGGTGTTCACACTTGGGTTAGATAAGGCGCGGCGCCCTCCCATGCTGGGGGAGACGAACCAGACTGTCTGGCCTGTCAGGCAGCCCGTCCACCTCCGGAGTCCTTGCTTACCTTCCTTCCCTGCGTGGTGACTGGCCGGTCTGTAGAATTCAGAACGCGGTGGTTGCCAGACAGCGCTTTCTACCTGGTCGTTCCCTCTCTTCGCATCGTTGGTTCTTTGGAAGTAAAGAAACACGCACTGACTCTCCTTCGACCTGTGTGTTAATCGGGCAACTGTGCACAGGCGGCTCTTTCTCCCCGCTTCTCCCTGCTCCTCCAAGCACCTGTGTTTAAAATTTTTTGAACTCTCCTTTTCTTTGGAAGTCCCCCAGTTCAGTGTCGGGCCGTTTACCATGTTAGTGGTCCCTAAGTAAGCCTTGAACACTTGCTTTCTGCTGGTTTAGGCTTTTCTTTCAGGGTTCACAGGTGTTAACTCTCTTTTCTCTGATCCCTTCCAGAGCAAATGTGTCAAGTACTGGCCCGATGAGTATGCTCTGAAGGAGTACGGGGTCATGCGTGTTAGGAACGTCAAAGAAAGCGCTGCCCATGACTACACCTTACGGGAACTTAAACTTTCCAAGGTGGGACAAGTAAGTATACTGTCGTATTTTAGACTCCGGTAACTGTTGGTGCCATGCCACCACCAGCGTGGTGCAGGCACTCACATCTGCGTACATTCGTCCGCTCGCTCACTCCTGGACTCAGCAGCCGTTCACTGGGTGCCTGCTGTGTGCCAGGTACTCCTCAGGCGCTGCTGGTGCGTTGCAGACGTACTGCCTCTGCCCTCATGGAGCCCCGGGACACAGAAGGTGAAAAGCTAAAGGGCCAGCTAAGCTTTCGGATTGTGTTGTCTGCAGTGGTGTGCTAGTGAGTGACTGGGCACTCGAGGTGGGGTAGACACGGAGGGCCTCTCGGAGGAAGCGTCCCTTGAGCTGAGGCCTGAAGGTGGAGGAGCCAGGCATCCAGAGCATCAGGAGAAGAGGGTCCCAAGCAGAGGGAGCAGCAAGTGCAAAGGCCCTGAGGCCTACATAGTGATGACATTTCATAGCTGAGATCCTAACTGCATGTAGTTCAGGTTTGTCCCTGGGGTGACTAACTTTACAGAGCACCGTTAGATTGGGATCCATTTAATTTTATGATTAGAGGGGGGCTTTCTTACTCAAGGCCTTTGGGGACACAAAGATGAATGAAGCAGCCTTTGTCTTCAAGGAATCATTGTACCATCTCGTAGCAGCCAGAAGCCACGTACGCAAATAGCCATGCTCCAGAGGAGACACGGGCTCTCCCCCACATCTGAAGTGCCACGGTCTTGCCAAGGCTGGGCTTCTTCCAGATACGGTGCCAGGAAGACAGCCCTGGGAAGAGGCTGGGCCCTCAAGGCTGGGGATTTCTTGGGAGAAGGGGGCCTCCCAGGTGGAGTGTCACCATGAGCCAGGGCACTGACGTGCAGACTGAGGGGAAGTGGGGTTTATGAGGGACGAGGCCAGTGGGGAATCTTGGGAATAAACCTGTGTTGAGACAGGTCGGGACCAAGTCGGGATGAGTCTTACCACCATGTTGAGAAATGTGAACTTTGTCTGTTACTTGGCGCAGAACCGAGTGCCAGGAAGGTGTCTGCGAGCTGGGGGAGTAGGGAGAGGGGTTGGCACGGGGGACCCCGATGGCCAGAGTCCTGTCCGGGACCTCTGCAGTGGTCTAGGTCTCGTGGCCTCCTCTCCAAGCGTCCCAGAGACCCCAGCAGTTGTTTTGAGTGTTTTTTTTTTTTCCTTCTTACATTTTGTTAAAATGCCAGAATAAACCTGGAAGAAGAGCCACGGATGAGAGAGAGGCCTTGGCGTGCAGTCTGGAGGGTGAGGGGGTAGTTTGGCCATTATTGGAGGATGAGGAGGAACTGAAGACATCGTGGGGCTGTGGGCCCAGGCAGACAGCGGGGCTGCGGGAGTCAGAAAAGCGGGAAGAAGATGTGTGAGATGAGGGCTCGAACTGTGCGGGCTGACGATGGCAGGGTGGTGGCCGGCGAGGAGGAAGAGGACCAGCTGGTGGTATCAGGGAGTCAGACAGGAGGGGATCTGGTGGTGGTGTGAACGGAGGTGGGGGTGGCGTTGAGGGTGATGGGCGGTGTGGATCTGAGGAGCAAGGGAGGATGAAGAATGACCTGTTGGCTGTGTCAAGTTCGAGATGCCTTCGAGACTGGTTGGGGAGGGGAGCTGGGGTCCCGGACATCACCGATGGGTCGGTTTGGGCCGGTGGAGGGGTATTGTGGCTGTGGCCCTGCCTGCTGCCAGTAGTGGGGCCACAGTGGATTTCCTCTGTGCTTTGTCAGCATGGGGCAAGGCCGTCAACTGACATTCGAAGAAGAAGAGATGTGATATTGGAGGAAAGTGGGAAAAGTACGAAATAGTGATTGTGTGGAATAGTAATTTCATTGCCGAGAAATCCAGTAAGCTTCTGGGCAGTGCTGAGGCCCCGCCAAGGTGGCGAACACACATATTTAAGGGCGCAGGTCACCTGGCTGTGTGCACACCCTGCTCCATTCCTCTGGCGCAAACCAGAGACAGTGGGTGGTTGGGTCCTTCCAGGTTCGAGGCTTTTCCCGGGGTCACAGTGCATGGGGACTGTGGTATGTGACGGAGAGCAATGGCCAGGACAGTGTGGGGAGTCTGAGCTGGGCCGTAGTAGAGGGGGTGGGGGCTGGAGGAGGGGCTCAGGGGGTGGGGGGTGAGGCTAAAGTGATCCGGGAACCTCTGAGCTTGTGGCCCAGGGTGGGATGCTGGGACCTCTAATGTCACTGGTGGGGGGTGGGCAGTTCTCCTGATGGTGGGGAGAGAGGGGGCAGAGGTTCAGTCTGTCACATGTGCCCCAATGAGGGACCTGGCATGTGCTCTGACCAGGAATCTCCACCTTTCGCTTTGCTGGATGACCCTCAACCAACTGAGCCATGGTGGCCAGGGCACTCTTTGCTTTTTTGAAAACCCCCTTCTAAAATGTTTCTTAGCTCGGATTGTCTCCAGATATATAGGGAAGAGGATGAATAGTGCTGCTCAACGACCTAACCTGGGTGTGCCCAGAACGCGATGCTTTTGGGTCTTCTGCAGCCCTGGGACCCTTGTTGGCCTTTATCATTGAGCAGCGACCTCAGAGGAGCCTGCGTGCCGAGTCTCTGCCCATCTGCAGAGCGGCGGCTGTGGGTTTATGGCTCCCGTTTAATCCTCACTGTGGTATTGTGAGAGAGAGGTTCTTATTCCTGCTGGCAAAGGAGCGATGGAGGCCTAGAGATCTCCAGGCGCCACAGTGAGTGCGCAGGCCAGGATGTGGGCCTCAGCGCAGCCGTCCAATGGCAGAGCCTCTCTTCCTACCTGCTCTGTACTCAGCGGAAGTTTCCAGTATCTCGATACTTCCCTAAACGAGTGTGGCTCCGGAGGGGAGGAGGTCTGGGTACAAAAGGACAAAGAGGAACGAGTGACCTGAGGGAGTACCCGTCTTCTCACCCAGTGGGAGGAGAGCCCCGCGTCCCAGAGGCCTTCTGGTTTGAGCAGCACGTGAACGAGGAGGATCGGGGACATTGCCCGCCACTGGAGGTTCAGAGGCGGCTGGGGCTGGAGTTCCCTGAGGAGCACGTTGCTGCACTGGGCCTCTGGGTTCATGGGACCGAGGCGGAGCTGTATCCAGGATTGCCTTGGCAGGTCCTAAGGGAGAAGCGGTCCAGGAACTCGGAGGAGGACCTTTGTGTCAGCCAGCTCCCTCAGCTCACTTAGGCTCTGAGAGAGCGAAGCCAGGCCGTGCCTCGGTCCCTTGATTTATTTAATTCTTTTCTGGTTTTTCTTGGCTCTACTCCAGGGCAATACGGAGAGAACCGTCTGGCAATACCACTTTCGGACCTGGCCGGACCACGGCGTGCCCAGTGACCCTGGTGGTGTGCTGGACTTCCTGGAGGAGGTGCACCACAAGCAAGAGAGCATCATGGATGCGGGCCCAGTGGTGGTTCACTGCAGGTGACCGGCCTGTCCGTCTCCAAATGCCCAGGGCTGCTTCTGACTTCCCCACCCCAGATCCAACTGGGGGAAACTTCATCTCTGTGTGAGGCCTGGATGCACTGCATGAAGGCGCACTTTGACCCCAAGTGTATTTTTCATAGATCCTACAGGACTGCCAGGGTCCTGGGGGTGGCAGGACAGGGGCTGGTGAACAGGGTCCTCATTTGCAAGGGGCTCCTAGTCTGGTAATGTTTGCTTGGCTTTCTTTTTCAATAGTGTAATTCAGCGTTCATCTTTTTTATTGTGATTCTAGTTTGTTCTACCACAGAAACGAGGTGTGTTTTTCCCCAACAGTACACTTATTTGCTTAAAAGATTAGGACCACTGCCCACCCTCTGGAAGCTAGTCCTGTGGCCCCCGCCCCACAGTTTGCAGGCTGCTGGCACCCAGGAATGGGCTTCCCAGTCATACTGGGGAAAGCTTGGTTTTTAAAATCTCATTCATGTGTTGGGCAAGTAGATGTGTATGAAGTTTTATTTAGTTTTTAAAAAGCTACCACTTATTGAGCACTTGCTCTGGGCCCCATGTTTTTCATGCACAACTCACATTTGACCCTCATGACAACCCTGTAAGATACATACTGTTGCCCCCATTTCACAGATGAGAAAACCAAGGGTCAGAGAGGTTAAGAGACTGTGCCCCAAGCACACTGTGTATTGGAGAAGCTGGGCTCCCAGTGCAGGTTGGACTGACTCCAGAGCCCTGTGCTCTTAGCAAATTCATTTTCCAGTATAAGTAGACAATCGTATAAGTGCTCCCAAGAGCAGATATTGGTTCTGCTCCATTAATAGCTTGGCTTTGAGTATAAACCCCCATGAATGACTTTACTGCCATCGGTTTTCACCTTTCTGCCCACAGTGCTGGCATAGGCCGGACAGGGACGTTCATCGTGATTGACATCCTCATTGACATCATCAGAGAGAAAGGTAGGTCATCTGGAGGGCAGGGGGCAGCAGCTCCTGTTTGTAGCTCATGGATGGAAAGTGCTGGTGAAAATAGCCTGGGGAAGAATATTTGAATGTTAAAAATTTTCACAAAAATCTGGGCCGAAGACATCAACTTCCAGTATGTTTGCCCAAGAACAGAAGTGATGCTGTTTCAGCTTTTGGCCTGAGATGAAGCCCAGGCCCCGGGGACGCCCTGCTGTGGCCTTTTGTTGATCATGCAGCGGCGCTCTCTACCCAGCCCCTCATCCCGGCTGATGGCGTGGGGCGTTGCAAAGTGGGGGAGCCCTGCTTCCCAGACTTTGTCATGGGATCGCCTGGGATCATCGGTATTGACCAGAAGGCCAGTGCTGTGGCCCTTGGAACATGTGCGGCGGAACATTAAAGACTAAATTTGCTTTATGCCTTAGCCTGCCGGAACCCGGGCATCCAGCCCCTTTCCCCTGCCTCTGCTGATCCTCCTGATGCTCCGTGCTGCTTGCTTCGTAGGTGTCGACTGTGACATCGACGTTCCCAAAACGATTCAGATGGTGCGATCTCAGAGGTCAGGGATGGTCCAGACAGAAGCACAGTACCGATTCATCTACATGGCCGTCCAGCACTATATCGAAACACTACAGCGCAGGATTGAAGAAGAGCAGGTACCGAGCCCGGGCGGACCGGCATGCGGTTCTCCTTTCCTTTTCTGGGCAGCTGGCGAATGTTCTCCTTTGGATCAGCATAGGCTTGGCTAGGCGACCGGCTTTGTTTGGGGACGGGAGAGGAGTCCCCCCACCAGAAGGGGCCTCTGCAGATTTCCTTTCTTCATGGCTCCGAATTTTCAGTCCGGAGGATGCTAGGGAGGGGCCCCGTGCTGCCCGCCCGGCCTGGTGGCCTGGGGAGGGGCCGCGCAGGAAGGGGAGGGTTTACCAGGCCCCCACGGCTAGCTTAGACGCAGAGCCTCCAGGTTTCCAGCCTGTTCCAGTTTAATCCAGGCCATATTTATCCTGATTCCATCTCGTAAATGAATGCTTCACTCTTAATAGCATACAGTGGTTTGAAACACCCAGTTTGGTCGAGTTGGAAACAGTGAAATTTCCATTTTAATAAGCATGCATAATGAAGAAGAATGTGGCACTGGAGCCTTGCCATTCGAAGCTATTCATAACAGACACAAAGCTGAGTTAATTAGGAATAAGCTGAGACGAGGGAAAGGAGGAGACTGCTCTTTTGGGGAGCCGTGCTTGTTGCCCACCCCACCCCCACCCCAGCCCAGGGCTGTGCCGTGTTGCAGCCAGGTCGTGTCCCAGTGTCAGGGATATTTTTCTGCTCTGCCCTGTTCATTGCCCTCCGGAGAACTCAGCCTCTCAAAACGGGCACATCTCAACACGGGCCCCGCCACCCGGCTGAACAACGTGTAGCCGAGCAGGCCAGTAGCTGCGTTACCAAAGCTTGGTTGGCCAGAGTTGTCTAACTGGTGTGGCACGTTCTCCATTCACACCAAGTACTCAGGAGATTGTCTCCTCGTAGAAAAATGTCTTCAGCAACCGTACGTGTCTAGAAATGTAAGCTCAGATGATCAGTAAGCTCCTGGTTTTGAACCTTCTTGCTTTAAATCTGACTGCGTTGTTGTAAGTGCCATGAAATATTTAGGTGGTTACTATAGGCTATTGTACATTTATTCTCCCGTGTTACTTAATTTGGGCTGGGAATAGTTAATGCAGGAAGATGCCCAGAGAAGGACTCGTAATAAACAGAAAGAGAGGGCAGCCCTGCTGGTAACTGGATGCTCTGTGGCAGTAACTTGAAGCACTTCATGTAGTCAGGGTGGGGAAAGCTGGGGGAAACGTTCCCTGTTTCATTCAGAGGCTTTGGCTTTTATCCTTGTTTTGGAGAATTTAGGGACTTCCCCTCCCAGCCTTTCGAGCACTTCAGATGTTCTTATTACCAAATATGGTCTCACTAACCCTAAATCTGAGATTATAGTTTGGATTTACAAACTAAATAAAAATCTTTTATCACTGTCCTGTTTTGGAGGGAAGAAGTAGATAAAAGCAAGACGTATTCTCTAATAATTTAAGTATTATGGAACATAGAATATAGAAATTGGCCCTGGCCTGGTAGCTTAATTGGTTAGAGTGTCGTCCCAACACGCCAAGGTTGCGGGTTTGATCCCTGGTCAGGGCACATACCAGAATCAACCAAGGAATGCATCAGTAGGTGGAACAACAAATCAGTGTTTCTCTCTCCTTTTTTCTCTAAAATGAAAAAAATAAAAAGACCTAGGATGTAGAAACTGAATGTAAGCTGTAAATGAAGTCCCTGGTGGTCCCACCCGAGGGAGCTGGGATGTGTGCATGCATGTGTCCATTCGTTCAGCCCATAAATAAGTGTTTGGTGCGATGCGTGTGGGCGCTGCACTGCGCACACTGACTGCTACGTGGTGTGTGAGCCTCCGTGTTTGAAAACGTGTGTCGGCTTAGGTCACGTATTTTAAGAACGGGGTCCTGTAATATGTAGGTTTCTGCATTGTATTGTTCGTTTCATTGCAGGAACTTGCTACCTGGTTTTGTGGTAAAGTGAGAAATACTTTTTCAGTTGGAAAAGGTTAAGGGCAGACTTAAAAACATGAAACCCACCTGATTTTTACATTAAACAAAGGAGCAAAACTCATTTAGGAGCACTGATTCTATTGAAATACAGGCATTTCCCAAATGATGAAGCTTTAGGAAACTTGGGGAGTGAAAGAATTTGCCGAAGAGAGGGGAAAATGGAAGAAAGAAAATGAGTCACAGGTGGGGATTCATGGGGAAGGAAGTGGAGACACCGCCACGCATGCGAGGGGGCCTCGCGGAGACTGGGGCGGGAGTCCCGGGGGAACGCAAATGAGGCAGGACGGAGAACATGCAGGAGTTTTTACAAGTGGTTCTCCTCACGCTCTGTGCCGTTTCGAAGGAGAGTTCTTTGTTAACTTCTGTTTACAGGATGACAGTTTCTTCATTTGCAAAAACCAGCATGCGGAGTTCCCTTCACTCAGCTTTCCTGACTGTTCACATTATAACACAATTTATTATTCATTCACACTCGCCTCATCTTTCCCTCTCTCCACAGGCGTAGTGAAATTATCAAAATCAGGAAATTAATATGACATAGTCCTGTTTTCTTCATCTATGGACCATATTCAGGCTTTGCCCATGTGTCCTATCAATGACCTTTCTGTGGTCCTGGCTCACATGGTGTATTTGATTGTCACAGTTCTCTCCCTGAAATGCCTTTTTTTGGGCTTTTGTATTCCCTTAAAAAAAGCCACATTTTCTCATACATGTAACCTCTACCTTTACCTTTCAGAAAAGCAAGAGGAAAGGCCACGAGTACACAAACATTAAGTACTCCCTCGCGGACCAGACAAGCGGCGATCAGAGCCCCCTCCCGCCTTGTACCCCAACGCCCTCCTGTGCAGAGTAAGTAGTGAGGAAGGGCTCCATTCATTGGAAAAGCTTAAACGGCTGCAGGTCTTGGGAGCACTCACCTCTCACTGAAGCGTTGCCCGGCCCATTCGGAGCCTGTCCGTGGCTGTCTCAACGTTACACTACCTAAACCGAAGGCCGATGGCTGCACCGGCTGGGATTACACGGGTTTGTGTGTGTCTCACGTTGAGGTTCTGTAAAAGAAGAGCCTAAGTTTTCTTTTGATGGGGTGGCATTTGCTGCAGAGGTGGATGGCACCCCTTGTGATGGATTAGCACTGTTCGCTAAGTAAAGTGAACTGCCCGTGAACGTGTCGACACAATCGTGATCTGCTCATTGGCCACATTCGCAGAAATCTACTTTGGGGAGTGAAGCAGGAGTCAGCGAACTGCAGCCCCCAGGCCAGACCCCAGCCACGGCCTGTTCCTGTGCAGCTCACAGATGGTTTTCAAAGGGTTATTAACACACGTGCACACGCACACACACACACACACACACCAAGAGTAACGTATGACAGAGACTGCATACGGCTTGTAGAGACTGAGTTATTTACCCTCTGGTTCTTTATAGAAGAACTTTGCCAACTCTTGTTTAAACCAAAGCACGACAGGAAAACATTACTTAAATAGATGAGGTGAATGGTTAATTGTAAGTTGTTATTATCTGCACATTCTAGTCATTCTGCAGTATAACATTTGCTTCCCCCCTCCCTCGCTTAGAGTTTTATCTCTACTTGCTTCTGACGTGGATTTAAAACCCCTGCTGACTTTAATACTCTCTTGGAACATTTTCGGTAGCACAGATGGAGATTGTATTTGTATGTTTTTTCCTATTTAACACTGAAATGAAGCGACACAACAGAAGTACTCTCCCCACTGCACTGCCTCTTTCTTCTGCCGCCTTTTCCTTTCCCGGCGGATGGACAGGGATAGTGTGTGTTAAATTGCCACCTCCCATCATCTGCAGCGGAACCAGCCTATCCAGACTCTAGTCCTTGCCAGAGAGCTTCCCCCCACCCTCATGTTGGCCCACCGCCTGTTGTTACCAGTGCCTGCCTGCAACCAGCGGCTTCTCTGTCTCTGTTCCCACCCTTCTCCACGGAGGGAGCAGCCCCGGGACACCGGGGCCCTGGGCCCCTCCAACTCGTTTTGTGTCGCCCTCTTGGGCCAGCACCCACAGCTGCGGGGACTCCTCATCCTCCCAGCCTGCACGGTTCTACATGCAGAGCTGGGGCTCGGAGGTGCTGGCTCCCCTCTCAGGGCCCCCAACCCCACCAACTGAGCTTCATGATCAATGTTCCCCTTCGCGTGGCCAGATCTGGGATCTGACTGCTCCTGTTTTAGATGGTCTTGGGACTCTGGCCCATTCGGACCCTTCTGCTTGAAATTAGAGCCAATCCTCTGAGTACATGCCCCACCCTCTTTCAAGGTCTACCTCAGAGGGCTCAGCACACAGTCTTCTCTTGCTCTGCCCACCTGGAAAACAACTCACTTTCCTCCAACCCCCCTGGAGCGTAGGGGGCTGGAGGCTCTTATTTCACTTTAACTTCGGTTACATTGCTGCACGGTCGTGTCTTACGTCCTGTCCTAAAATGCCAGCTCCAGGGGGCAGGAGCCGTGTCTGCACCACAGCTGGTCGCCGAAGAATATGCCGCACTGTGTGCCTTACAGACGCCACGGTCTGCACGTATGTTCACGTCCCCGTCCCTTTTGTTCCAGAATGAGAGAAGACAGCGCCAGAGTCTATGAAAATGTGGGTCTGATGCAGCAGCAGAAGAGCTTCAGATGAGAGCCCCGCCGAGGCTCCAGCAGCAGGTATTCACACGGAAGTACCGGGTCTGCTCGGCGTCCGCAGCCTTTCCGAGCAGGCAGATGAGTCATGAGCGTTTCAGCAAAGCGTCTGCTGATGGAGTTGTGCAAGTCGGCCTTCTTTCTCCCAAAGTGGATCTGTCTTAGAGTTCATCGAGCATTAGTGCCAAATGCAACATTAATCCTGGGAAGGGCGAGGCTAGCACCTGTACTGAGAATGCTGGTGGTGGACACCAGAGGCCACTGTGCCTGCTGTTTTTATTGGTGTTGACTAATCCAGACTGTGCTGGGAGGTGGTATGTGGGGATCCGGGCACCGTGGGGACAGCTGGGGTCACGGCGCCTCAGCGCTCCTCCCAGGCGGCCTCTGCCTGGCCATGTGACACAGGGCACTGGACAGTTGGGCCTCTGACGGGCTCCACTCCACATCCCTTCCTGCTCTGATGGGGGAATTCATCTCCCTGGTCCACCTCCTCCCTGTCAACCACCTTTTTAAATAGTGACCCATGTGTGATAGGTGTTTTAATGAGTTAGAAACTCATAGTTTTCAGTATTTCATGTTGAAATTCTCATTTCAACGTGTAGTCTACTGAAAAGCTTTAAAGGTATTTTTAAGTGGTTTCATGCCTTGCAAACTTTTGGACATGTGCTCCTTAAAAATTCTCATTTATTTCTTCCCCAGATGTGGACTTCAACTTCTCCATGAAAAGATCAAGAACAGGTGCAAGACAGTTGATGTGAAGTGTGAACTTGAAACTTGAAGGCTTGCGTTGTGGTCGACTCCCCTTTGATGAATAGAATGTGAAACCATGTAAAGACCGTTTGTCTTCTCACTCAGCAACACCTGCCTCCCGGTCACTGCTTTGCTGAGATGAGAAGTCCCCTCTGCACTGTGGACAGCGTCGTATTTTACAGAGTTTCTATTTTAAACCGAGGAGGCGGTTCAGTTGCGCTCTCTACTTTGCGGATGGCGATGCTTCAAATCCTAGTTACTGGCATTTGTTTTTCTTTGTATAACCTTAAAAAATGTAATCTCCCCCCACTTTGTGGGGAGCGATAGGGCAGGTGTTAGAGGGGAAAATGGGGAAAATCGAGTTAACAACAGTCTGTGGAAGTGAGAACGGTGTCATTCATCATCACTGATCACTAGTGGGTAATCCATTCTGATGGCCTCTTTTGTTGGCTAAATGATAATGAAGCCATGGCCCCAGACTATCAGGAGTTGACTGTCTTCTGCATCACCATTAAAAAATCATGGGAATTTAGAATGAAAGGCACGCTTTTTTCTTTGCAGATGACCAATGGCCATTCAGCCTTTTGCCTGAGAAGGTTGTGGTGGGGAAACACTCGCCATATGTATTTTTTTCATTTGAGTGTTTAGGGAAAAGGCATCTGTGACTAAGCAGTATCTTGGTTATCAGTTGTTGCCGACAGACCACCTCGGAACATAGTGGCTTACCCTGATTCTTCATTTTTTCCTCACTGTCCTTGAAGCCGGACCGGGCTCAGCCATTCTGTCCCTCCGCTCATCTTGCTGGTGCCCCTTGCTGGTGGGCAGGTTGGCTGAGACACGGGTGGCCGGGCCTCTCTCCCTGCACACGGTCCTCGGTCAGTTCTTCATGTGCTCTTTCCATGGGGCCTCACCCGCAGGGTGGCTGCCTCTTGCATGGAAGCTCAGAGCTCCCAAAAGTGTAAGGCAGGAGTGGCAGGCCTTCCTACGACTTAAAACCTGAACCGTCACAGCGTCACCTCTGCCCTCTATTGATTAGAGCAAGTCACAGCCCGACACAGACTCAGGAAGAGGGGACTTCACTGGGGTGTGAAGTGGAGGTGTGGTCGTGGGGGGTCTCCGGAGTAACAGACGGTCCGAACTAGTGCCCAGGGGGAAAAGCTATTATCAGCAGAAGTAGAAGCTGCTAGTGAGTGACCTGGGGAAGCTGGAGCTGCCCGTGATAGCTGGTGTGGAAGCTGGACGTGAGAGAGAGAGAGGGGGCCTTCCAGACGCTTGCTGCACCGGTTCTGTGGGCTCAGAGCATCTTTTCCTCACCATCCCCTGGGAAAACTGGTCTCATAAGGATGGCTGTGTCAAGGGGGCAGAGCGTTTGAAAGCAGCACCTTGTCAGCATGGCCCCCACACAGGGAGGCGAAGGGGCGCCTTCTTCACGCCACCGGTCTCCCGGGCAGTGGGCTGCGCAGGAAGGAGCGGTGCTCACGGGGCTGCTCGCCAGGTGGCCTAGGCAGGAGCCCATTTCTGTTGTCACCGAGCAGTCAGACCAGCTGACGTGCTACCTGAAGTGCCTTCTCCAAAAACACCCCTCTTTGCCCCCGTGTGTTGAATCATTGTTCAGTGAGTGCATTTCCATTCAAGTCTCACTGGGTGACTTTGTGAAGATCATAAAATGCTACGGCATGGCCTCCTTTCTGGAATTGTCCTTGCTCTTGCTCCTAGATCTGGCCCTGGTGGTAGTTCCCCACTGAGGTCGCGATCGGGGCAAGCAGTGGCTGCCATTTTCACAGACACAGCGTACAGTGTCCCCCCCCCACATAAACCCCCTCCCCAAGCCATCGCACTTAAAATTGCTTCAGGACACAGGGGTGGCCTGGAGGTGGTTACCTTATAAGAGGAATGCAAATGACTACTGTCTTGCCAAGCCTGCAAAGAGAGAGAATGAATTTCAGTATTCGCAACAAGGTCCTGAACCCTGTTCTTCTTTATTGCATTGTCATGGGGAAGGGTCTTCCACTGGGCCTCAATTTCGTAGGAATGCTTCAACAGCAGATTTCAGGGCCAGAGTCTCTCACCAGCATACAAGGGTTTAATATATAAATAAACCTGCTACATTCAGTCTCTGCCTGTAGCTGCAGATTGGCTGCAGATTGGTTGTTTTTGCACTTGGAATGGGAGGAGCGGATCTGGGCCAACCCTCTGTGTTCCAGGACATCGATTCCATTTAGATTTCCCTCCACCAGGTCAGCAAGCTGTCCTATTAGGTCAGTTTTTGCCCAGACAAGGTTATGATTGTCCCTCGGTTGCCAAGGTTTGTTGTGTGTTTGACGAAAGGGGGTCGCATCGCAAGTTCTTAGGTGAGATTTCTCTCTGTGGGATGGAATCACGCAGGTGAAGATGGGGAGCTGGAGGCGCAGGTTTAAAGATGTGGAAATGAAAGTCCCTCAGGGGTGTTTTCTGAGCACGCCCCAGGGCCCGGGGCCGGAACAGTCGGTCACAGCTGAATCAGGTTAACAGCTGGAAAGGAGGAGCGCTAGACCTGTGTACGTGTTGGCTTCTGGGTTGCCGCTAGACATGAAATTTGCACAATATCCCATAGCTGGTTGAATATTTTTAAATTATAAGCATAGGATTTTATATTTGGGGGGAAGACATTATCTGGCACATGGTATTCGGGGTTTTTTAAAAACAAGCCACATTTCAGTCTTAATAACTTTTATAGAAAATCAAAATAAAAATACACCTCATACCCCGTGCGTGGTCCTCCTGAAAATTATGGCCATTGGGTCCATGGGAATCAACGACTTGTCAGATGTGGTTAAATGGGGTTGAGAAAAATATATGTGTGACTTTCATGGTGTTTTGCATTCTTTAAGGAGCCCAGTTGCTTTGGGAAAACCAAGAAAATCATCCAGATTATTTTTAGGGGTCATTTTACCAGGGATTTTACAACTAAGATAAGGTCTCGGGTTATTTCTAGTTCAGGGGAGTGTGGAAAGGTATGCGGTTGTGGAGTGTTTTGCTGTAGCTTATTAATCCACAAGGGGAATTTAGGCTATAGGCATAAGGATAAACCCAGTACAGCTAGTTTTCTGTAAGTTGTTGAGGGAACGAGGTTTCGTATAGCAAGCACATGGCACCCCTGATTCTGCAATGCCTTTTTTAGAATCTCTATTAGCCCTAGATTTTGTTGATTTCCCTCCCCCCCCGCCTTCCTCTTGAAAAATAAGTTCCCAAATATAGTTTATTATATCTTCCATTGTTACAACATTTGTTTCTTTTCCCACTACGGGCAGCTCACTCCGTTGGGTTTTAGTGTGGTGCGTACCTTCGCAGTCTATCCAGCTAACTTCTACAAGTTTTCGTCCTAAACCTCAAATCATGTGATTAATAATTTGCCTGTTTTATTTATGACCTAGTTGTGATTCTGTTATTAATAAAAGCTAGTGGGGAAGGATCCTTTATTAAGCTGTTGACTTAGACATGCATTTAATTTTCCAGCAGTATATGAAGTATTGTACCAGAGTATTAAAAGCTATGTAATATTTTATTGATAAATCTATCCTTTAAAAGGAATATGTGTTAGGGTGTCATCATTTTGATGTGAATCATGTAAATGTTGATAATATGCACTGTTTATTATACACGTAGTGTTCCAAGAGATTCACTTCATTGCCTTTTCGCTCACGTACATTATGTAGTCTATTTGCAATTGTTTTTTAAGAAGTGACATTAAAAGAATAGTTTACGTAGAGAAGCTTTAGTGGATGTTAATTGTCTCCCCGCTTATATTTATGGGTGTTAGTTCAACTGCTTTGCTAGTTGCGAAGCCCTATTATCAGAGTAAAAGTGTATTTGTTAACTGTATGGGAACTAAAAATCAGGAATAAAACCATTTTCTTATATTACAGTATTTGTCATTTCATCAGACACATGCAGGAAAAACTGTGATGATGGGTCACTCACTTCTCAGACCAGCAAAATGCTAACAGTTAGCGGCCCTTGTCTAGAAGGTACATTGGGATGTAGACTGAATGAATCAGCTCCTCAAGAACTGATGGAGTGCCTACTCTGAGTAGCTTTGGGAGACAATTCCATTTGGAAGAACTTCCGAGTAAGTGACGAATAAAAGTGTGTGTGTGAAATACACAGAAAACCATTACAGGTAGAAGTGAGTGTAGTAGCATCGGGTAGGCACCTGGAGTGAAGACTCAGGGGAAGCCTGCAGGACGGACGGATTACGTGCTCCAGGCCGTCCGCTCTTCCCCGTGCAGTAGGCTTAGCCCGCATGCGCACACGGTCATTCCCTTCTATAAGCACTGCATTCATACCGGCGGAAAGAGACCGTAAATAAAACAGGTGATTCGTTTTCTGTTGTGAATCTCAGGATAGCATTTACGCCGTAAAATACTGTTGCTTGCCTCTCAGTCCCAGCTGAGTTACTTTTTAAATAAATTTTTTACGAAAGATCTTTTAAATTTACTTTTAGAGAGAGAGGCGGGAGAAAGAGAGGGAGAGGGATACGTCAATGTGAGAAAGACATGTTGATCGGCCACCTCTCACGCACACCCCAACTGGGGACTGAACCCGAGACCCAGGCATGTGCCCTTCCTGGGAATCGAACTAGCAACCTCTCCCTTTGCGGGATGACACCCAACCCACTGAGCCATATAGGCCAGGGTTCAGCTGAGCTGCTTAATGCATCTAATCACATGCAGCTGATTTAGGTGGTTAGACCAGTCACCTATCCATTCACCTATCCATATACAGAGCCCCTTTGAAATGCTGGCCACTATGCCTGTGGTGGACACTGGGGAAAGCAGTGACACATGGTGGCCGTCCTGGTGGTTGGTGACATTCTAATAGCAGAGCGAGGTCTTGTACCAGTCACAAGGCAGTCAGTTACATTTGGGACAAAGCAGGAGAGACAGGGACGGGACAATTCCGAGTACGCGTGAGGCAGCTGGAGGACGTCTGCAGGGATTCCTCACCGTGGAACCCTCACCCTCTGGGGTTTCAGAAGAGGAGCTGCTCAGGTTGTGGACCTGGAGATGCCTCGTTCCCCACAATCCTTCCCAGGTTGTAGGTCAGAGGGCAGGGGGCGTGTCTCGTCTTTGCCACGTCACAACAGAACCTTCTCTTTCTGTAGTTTCTACTCATAAGAAAAATCCCCAAGGAAATGTGCGGACTAAATGCAAAGCGTCCCCATAACAAACCAGTTGTGGACAGAGCGCTAGGGGCTTATTCAACCCAGTTGTCTCGTAGATGAAAAGCTTCTGAAGGAAGCGGAAGCGCCCACTGAGATTACGGGATCACGTCAAACGTACGCCCTGGGGAGTATGGGGAAGGGACTGTGACTTCCGGTGAACGCTTCCGTCAAAGACGCTCTTCTGCCCCTGGGAACTGGCCGAAATTCCAAACGCTGAATTCGCAAAACGGCAATGAGCCAGAAATAGAGATTTGCTATTTTATCAATAGCCGCCATTACCAGTGAGTTGATATTTATGTTGTTTTGAAGTCAGACAATTTAAATATTGATGTAAAATATAGCTACTAAAATAGGGGTTCCAAGAGCAATATAATACTGCAACAGAATACCTGTGGACAGTTCATGGACAACATAATTGCCTTTGTTGCTGACCTGGCATCTGTACCTGGTAAGACCATAGTCAACTGGGCTGGAAAGAATCTAGGCTTCAAATTCTCTCCCATTCAGTCAAGACAAAATCCCCACAAAGCACCAGGAAATAACAGTTCCTGCCTTTGAGGATCTCTGTGTAGCCAGGGAGACAGATGAAAATGCGGATGTTTGATTTGATTGGAATAGACAACATGGGTATTAACTGAAATTGATGGTTGCCTAGCAGAGTGACTTAGAGGAGAGCCAGGGTTCAGCGGTGGCGGTCACTTGAGCTTATTCCTGACCAGTGGGGACGTGTGTGTGTGTGTGTGTGTGTGTGTGTGTTTGTAGAGACAGAGGAAGAGAAGCTGTCCTTTCATTTTCTTGTAGGTTCAGTCAAGGCCTGTTTCTTCCATTCATCTCTTTCTAGAAATGAACGTGTAAGGAAAATAGCCGGGTCTCTGTTCAGCTCATCTCTGAACAATGGAGAATAATTTTCCTCACCAAGATGTATACTGACCGCCTTTCTAGAACTCTAGAATGCATTTTGCAACAAAATATACTTATTCCATTATCTCTGCATCTATCCACTGTATTTTTAACAATTCAGTTCTCGATGAAATTGATTGACCAAATCTGCTATTTTGAGTAATCTAGGCCCATTTTGTTAGGAATTCCAAGTATAATTTAGAGAGAACATCATGGTTTGGAATGAGCCATTCCATTCCAAATGCACTCCTTACCGAGATCACATTTTTCACGGGAAAAATCAAGTGAGTGAGGCAAAGGACTTTTCCTCCTCCTGCATCATGTTTTCTCCAGGTCGACGCAGTTAAATCGCAACTTGGTTTCACAGTGAATACATTTCCTTCATGAAGAAAGGTGGCGTGGTGTGCAATCAGGACTATTTCAGGAAATCCCGGTGGTCTCGGCCCCTGCCTGTCAGCAGCTCCGCACAGTGGGTCTTCTATCAGCCGGTCTCCCCTGCCTTTATCAGATTATCATGCCCTGGGGCTGGCTCCCTTGTCAGTCTGAAAGGGGTGAAAGATGCATAGATCCATGTAATTAAATTTGCATTTCTCTTAAAAGGGAGGCCGAGCATCTTCTCCATTGCTTTGGAGATGCCTTTCTGGGACCTCTGTTGCTTGACAGTTTTTCCCCCATTAAATGCTGGATCTGTCTCGTTCTGAGTTTAGGAACAAAGGTACTTCATTCTCTATGATGGATGGACGTGGCTGGAATTACTGAGTCCCAAGGATCAATATAAAATGCTCCTCTTCCGGTGCGTGTGGGGAACATCTGTCTGTGAGGTGCAGTTCAGGCCTTGCTGGGACCGTAATTCTCAGTGGCGATGAGGTGAACAGTCTGGGAGACGCATGCTGACCGCCCCAGGGTGCTGAAGCCACCATGTGAGACCAGTCATGATTATGCGGGCTGGTGACTTGAGAATTCAGATTTTTTTCAGATTCAGAGGTACCCGACAGTATGCCTGCGGGCATCCATTCAACCCCGTTTTAAGGAGCGTGGTGACTTGGGCATCAAGCTAGATGCTGTGGGGAATACAAAACAAACCTCTCATAATCCCTGTTTTAGAGGACTTCATGGTCCATTTAGGGAAAGGACACACACAGGCTGAATACAAGATGGAATAAAACTGCGATGCATGAGGCCTGGATCGAGACTAAGAGCGTGAGGAAATGATGATAGCACACCTTTTACTAAAGGACAGTTACCTGCCAAACATTACCATAGGTGGCAAACACAAGGCCCGTGGGCCGTGTCCGACTCTCCACCTTGTTTTATTTGGCCCGGCACCTGGGTTCTACCTGGCGGCAGCACCGAGCTCCTTGCCCCTAGTTCAGGAATAGTTACAGTAGTTACATTTATACAATCCTAAATTTACATCCGGCCCTGTGAAGGCACACGGTGAGGCTGATGTGGCCCCCGGTGAAAATGAGTCCGACACCTCTGGTTTATACAGATTACTTCTAAACCTGCCAGGTAGCTACCCTCCCCCATCTGCTTTGCTCACTGCTAGGGATCTGCACCAGTAACAAATGCAGGTACCAAATGAACACAAACTTAACTGTTTTGCAGTTCCGGAAATCCGACATCTGAAACGGTCTCACTGGGCTAAAGTCAAGGAGTGAGTTAGCAAGGTTCATTCCTTCTGGGGGGTCCTGGGGAGAATTTCCTCCCTTGCCTTTTCTAGTTCTAGAAGCTTCCCAGCATTCTCTGCCTCCTGGCCCCTCCCTCCACCTCCAGAGCCAGCAAAGGCAGGGCCAGCCCGACTCAGACTTTCCTCTGATGTCACCTACCTCGGATGTTCCTGCCTCCCACTTTGCGAATGAAGACCCTGATGATTATATCGGGTCCACCCAGTTAATCCAGAGCAGTCTGCCCATCTCAAGACCCTTAATTTAATCACATCTGCAAAGTCCCCTTTGCCACATAAGGTACCATATTGACATGTTGCACGGATTAGGATGTAGACATCTTTGGGGGAGCCATTAACCTGCCTTCTACAGCACCTTTAGGCCTCCAGCACATGGGGATGGAGGACAGTGTTTGGGAGCAGAAGTCCCGGGCAGGGAGTTACTGGCAACAGAAGGGCTCCGCAGGTAATGAAGAAATATCCTGACCCAGCCTCTGGCCCCGCGATCTCTGGCTGCCTCCCATTGCCTCACCCCATCTGTGAGGCAGAGGGCCGAGGTGACTAGGTGCTATAGTCCATAGGGCAGAGAATGGATCTGGGGTGGGGAGAGGTACAAATAAAGAGTAACAACAAGCTCAGCCCTGGCCGGTGGGGCTGGTTGGGTATGGTCCTTCCAACCGAAAGGTCATGGGTTCAATTTCCAGTCAGGGCACATGCCTGGGTTGCAGGTTCGGTCCCGGGTCAGCGCACAAGGAAGAGGCAGCTGATCCATGTTTCTCTCCCCCAGTCTCTCCCTCTCTCTCTAAAATCAACAAAAAGAAGGAAAAAATAATAATCAAGAGCCCACAGGAGCCTCACTATTCAAGGTGCTCTGTGGACCCGCCCCCTCAACACCTGGGACCGTGGGAAAATGCAGTCTTGGCTCCACCGAGTCCTGCTGTATCAGAATTAGCAATTTTTTTTTTGCATTATCACCAAAGGATGCACAGGCTCATTTTTAGTTTTAGATGGGCTGCACAGAAGGAGGCGAAGGCTGCTGGAAATTCTACCCAGGCTGGGTTCATTTGGGTCTGCAGACACAGATTTGAGCCTTGCCTGACATCACAAGAGTAGCCACGAAGAGTGAGAAA